ATGCATCTATCTATCTATATCTATCTATCTATCTATCTATCTATATATATATATATATATATATATATATATACATCATTCATTGTTTTCATATCTATCTACCTATGTATCTATCTGTTCATATCATATCATATCATATATCTATGTATCTCAGTATGTTCAGATCTATCTATCACAGTCTGTATATATATGGAAACAATGAATGATATATATATATATATATATATATTATATATATATATATATATATATATTTATATCATTCATATCCATTTTCATATTTATCTATCTCATATTTGTCATAGCATACTGCATCTATCCATCGATCTGTCTATATATCTATGTCAGTGTGTTCATATCTATCTATCTATCTATCTATCTATCTATCTATCTATCTATCTATCTATCTATCTCAGTCTTTTCATAGCTTATCTTATCTATCTATAGATCTATCTCACTTTCCATCTATCTCATTCTTTTCGTAGCTTATCATATCTATCTATCTATCTATCTATCTATCTATCTATCTATCTATCTATCTATCTATCTATCTATCTATCTCATTCTTTTCATAGCTTATCATATCTATCTATCTATCTATCTATCTATCTATCTATCTATCTATCTATCTATCTATCTATCTCAATTTTAACCATTCTCCCGGGAGATTTTTTCTATGCTTGGGTATTTGTATTTATATTCAAAAGTTCGTGCTCGTCTTTTTCAAATCAATTTTCTGTGACATGAATAAATAAGAAAATTGGAAGAAATTGATTTTAACTTAAATTGACAGAAAATCAGAAACTGTGTCATTTTGTGCTCACCCCTCAAACCCACCTATCACTTTCTTGCAAACATAAATTTGACATTTAGATTCAGGTCAGTCTGTGTAGTCGGATGTTTTTAATTAAAAAAAAAAAATAATCTGCTTAAAATATATTTTAGTTTTCCTGATTATATCTGACAATAAATGTCAGTTTCTAGAGTGTTTTGATTATAGGGGAGCTAGTTTGAAGTCAGAGGGGCGCAAGTAGAAAGGTATATATCCTTTATGTCGCCTCGCGTTTAATGTGGTTTCAAGTGGAGATTCCTACATGGGAAACATATATTGGAACCAGTTTAGATTGGCTGATTTCGTTTAGTGGCATATCAACCCCGTTCAGTTATTTCATGCTGAATTCTAAACATTTTAAACACAGTTTTATGGCTTCAACTAAATATATACTATAAATAGGTATTGTTGATTTGGTTGATTTTATTTAGCGTCATAACAATGTCTATGGGTTATTTAATATCAAAATTTAAATATTTTGAACACAGTTTTATGGCTTCAACTAAATATATACTATAAATAGGTATTGTTGATTTTGTTGATTTTGTTTAGCGTCATAACAATGTCTATGGGTTATTTAATATCAAAATTTAAATATTTTGAACACAGTTTTATGGCTTCAACTAAATATATACTATAAATAGGTATTGTTGATTTTGTTGATTTTGTTTAGCGGCATAACAATGTCTATGGGTTATTTAATATCAAAATTTAAATATTTTGAACACAGTTTTATGGCTTCAACTAAATATATACTATAAATAAGAATTGTTGGTTAGGTGATTTTTTAGTAGCATATTGGGTTATGTAATGCCGAAATCTAAATATTTTGATTAATTTGGTTTGGTTGATTTCGTTTAGCGGCATATCAGCCTCTATAGGTTATTTAATGTCGAAATCAAAATATTTTGAACACAATTTTACGGCTTCAACTAAATATATACTTCAAATACTAATTGTTCTTTGGCTGAATTAGTTTAGCAGCATATCAATGTCTATGGGTTATTTAATATCAAAATCTAAATATTTTGAACACAATTTTATGGCTTCAACTAAATATATAATATAAATAGGTATTGTTGATTTCGTTGATTTTTTTTATCGGCATATCAGCCTCTATGAGTTATTTAATGCCGAAATAAAAAAAAAAACTTTGAACACAATCTTATGGCTTCAACTAAAAATATACATGAAATAGGTTTTGTTGATTTGGTTGATTTTGTTTAGCGGCATATCTAAATATTTAGATTAACTTGGTTTGCCTGATTTTGTTTAGCGGCATATCAACCTCTGTGGGTTATTTAATGCCGAAATCAAAATATTTTGAACACAATCTTATGGCTTCAGCTAAATATATACTTTCAATACTAATTGTTGGTTGGTTGATTTTGTTTAGCAGCATATCAATGTTTATGGGTTATTTAATATCAAAATCTAAACAATTTGAACACAATCTTATGGCTTCAACTAAATGTATACTATAAAGAGTAATTGTTGGTTGGTTGATTTTCTTTAGCAGTATATCAACCTCTATCGGTTATTTAGTGCCAAATTCTAAATATTTTATACGCATTTCTATTTTTTCTTTGGAGATGATAATGGTTTTAATGATAAAATTCTTACTAATTAACTCATAGCCGGGGGAGAAGTGAAGGATCCATACCTTTTTCAAGGGTATTTGCGCATACGGGAATATAACGTATCTGGCCAGAATTAGAAATCAGTTCTCCACTTAACAATTCTGAACCATAATCTGTTATCCCACTAGCACATCGAAGCATACAGCAGCTGGTATATCCAAGCGGTTACCTATCTAGTTAATGACCATGCCCGACATTGCTTACCTCCAGTGATTGTACAGGAACCGATGTTTCAACTGTAAGGATAGGACCAGTCTAAAAAAATAATCCAGTTCCCTCAGCACATTCGTTTTCGGGCTTGCGTCAGACCAGGTAATAGCTGTAGCGTTTTTCTGAGTGAGTAATATTGCCAGAGGTGAGTTGACACCCTAAGACGGATCTAAAAGGAATAACGTACGCTTCTTGAACCAAAAGGCTGAGGTACTAAAGCATAAATCACAGTTTGGTGTAATAGTGACTGGTTCCTTAATTGGAAAAAAATCATTAAGTGGAACAAATTCCTTATGTTTTACAATATAAGTTCTTTTTTTCCTGCTCAATATACACTGCGTGCCAAATTATTATTTTTTTCTAATATTTCAAAAACCGTCCAATCAATTCACACAAAATTTTTGTACTGATCTGCGCAATGTAAACAAACTGGCGCCATATTTGTTATCAGCACGGTGATACACACTAGAAAAGGAAATTCTATTAACCATTGGGAACAATGAATTGTTCACATTGTTATAATCAGGAAAGCAAAACTAATTCAAGTAATATTCACGATGGGGAAAGGGAATGATTTTCTGCTCTCTGTCTTTTTGTACAAATACTTTCATGGTAATTGCTCAGAGGAGCTGCATTCGCTGGTTCCCAGACTTCATGAATTCAAGCGCCCTACGAGGCTGGCATCCCGCTCTCACCCTTTCACTGTCGAAAATATTAAATGTGGCCGTCTCTTCTAGTCCAATGGCTTCATGTCTCGCACCTCTCGCCTGTGGAACTCCCTTCCCTATTCCAGTTTCCCTGAGAGCTATAATCTCCAACTATTCAAATGTAATGTCAATCGGCATCTCCAGTTGCCTTGATCTATCCACTATCCTTCTCCTCATCCCTTCCTCTATCACTCCTATCTGATCTTGCTCCAAATTTTCTCTAACCCCTTGCATCCTAGGGGCTTCCCGCCTTGCTTGTCCAGGAATGCGGGTTAGTAGAAAGTATATGTACAAGTCTCTGTAAGTAAAGCCGTAATCATCTCTCTCTTTGGACTCTTGTATAACTCTCTGAAAACACCCTGTGTCTGTCTCCGTATCTCTCAACCTGTCTCAACGTATCTCCACGTATCGGTTTTTGTTTAGCAGCATATCAATGTCTATGGGTTATTTAATATCAAAATCTAAATAATTTGAATACAATTTTATGGCTTCAACTAATTTACTATGCTGACAGAGAGAATAACTACTGTGGAGATACGTCGCGATACAGTCTCGACGTCTGTCGAACTCTCTGCATTAGCAGAGAGGAACCCGGACGAAGCTTTGCCGAAGAGCAAGGATTCGTCCGTGGGAAGTAGACAAGCCCTGAACCCGTCTAGGCGGGTTCAAAGGCTTTATTTTTGGCCGAACATACGGGCTCGGAGACACCCACTTTAAACTCGGCCTTGTGCCACATATATTCCTCGTGGGTGGAATGTTAAATATCAAGATACGTTGAGATACGTGGAGATACGTTGCGACAGGTTGATAGATACGGAGACAGACACAGGGTGTTTTCAGAGAGTTATACAAGAGTCCAAAGAGAGAGATGATTACGGATTTACTTACAGAGACTTGTACATATACTTTCTACTAACCCGCATTCCTGGACTACTAATCTTCACTTCAAGTCTGTATTCTTACGTTTAATACACTTATTTTTCTATCTCAATTACTGGCGTTGTTTATTTATTTGTGCAGGATTCCATTCACGGAATCCACAACAGATAAAATACGATATTATTAGTCACTTACCCCATGCCATAATGTTGCCTCTCTGTGTCTTTATAAATACTTTCATAGTAAAATTGATCGGATGAGCTCTTTGCCAACTTAACTCGACTTTTTTTTTAATTTAAGTGCAGTACAAGGCTGGTCTTTGAGATCTCATCGATTTACAGGTGAGCTGGCTAGATAAAGCCATGAATTCTATGCTAACAATTTTTTTCTTGCACTTCTCACTTGTGGAACTCCCTTCTAGTTCCATGCTTCCAAACTAAATTTAATCTGCAACAAATTAAATACAATATCAATCGCTATCACCAGTCTTCCTGGTTACTCTTTTCTCTTCCTGCTCATTATTAATGTTTCTGTTCCTAATTCTTTCACAACATGTAAACATGTGTCTTAGTGGCTTTACTGCCTTACTTGGGGTGAAACCGATTTGAAAAAAAGAAGCTTTTTTTGGGAGGGAACTGGGTGTATTGCCTGGTGCCTGAGGCATCCCCAAAGTGATGAGGAGGCTTTGATAATTTTTCTACATTACAGCCGATAAACCGGCATTAAATTCGACCTTCTGTCACATTGCGTTTTGACTGAAGGCATGCTTCTCAGTATCGAATATAATATACAGGGTGTTTCAAAAAATTTGATATCATTTCGCAATCTAATAACTTTGTTAGATCTCCTTCAAATGACTTCAAATTTTAATAGCATCTTTATGTTTAATGTTTGTTTTATGTTTTATGTCTTTATGTTTTTTGTATTTTTTCTTATTTGTTTTTTATGTTCTTTAATCTTTATTCTTTTCTTTACAGGTATAAAAATGCTATTTACTAGACGAGAAAAGGCGTTTTGTGTGTTGGAGTTTGCTAGAACACAGTCAAACAAGACTGTGCAGCGTGCATTTATGAGAGAGTTCTCTAAAAAGTCACCAACAGGAATGCAGATTCGGAGATGGCATAAAAAGTTCAAAGAGGAAGGCTGTCTGTGCAGAGCAAAAGGATCCGGACGACCACAAACTTCACATTTGTGAAATCGTTCACATAATCCACATGCTTTTGAATTCCTCATTCAGATTTGGAAGAATAAATCTTATGATCTTCAACATTCATACTTTTTAATTTCATTTGCCTTAATCATGTACTTTCTGTGATATTTACATCTCAAAGAATATAAAATTTTTTGAAACACTCTGTATATGTCTTGCGAGTCTGGCTTGCGGAATTCTGTATATCATATCGGACAGAGCACAACTCAGTTGTGTCTGTGTATTCCTGTCAAGCGCAACCAAATATTCAGATATGTCTGGTGGCTGGGAGCATCTGCTCTCGTTGCACTTATGGAATTAACACATTAATTCCATCTATATTTTACGCGCGCGCGAGTTTCCTCCCTTCCTTTCACACTCGTGCGTGTGTGCGCGCGGTTTGCACCCTTTCCTTCCTCTCACATCTAGACATAGCAGTAACCTTCGCTAGCTCTTACTGATGAACTCAGACTAACAGATTTTGAATTTTTTCCCGCGCGTTTCGCGGCGTCTCAAACGGCCAGCGTTTGCAAACCAGTTGCCTTCCGACCTTCAACCTGACTAGACGGGCAACTCATTCATTCCGTGCCCTTAACCCATATGCGGGCCGGAATATCTTATCTCAACGATGTTGACCCCACACTTATTTACCAAGATTTCTTCTCATCTTGACGTTACCCGCAGGTCAACCAGTTGCTCCGTTTTCGACCAGAAAACGTTTGAGACCCATCGTTCGAGACGCGACACAGTCGCAAGCAGAACTTATCCCTCGTCAGTGAACCAAACTTTAAATACAGACAGGGATATCTTATTGACTAACAAACTTGCTATCCGCAGGTCAGACCTTCTCCGTTTTCGACCAGAAGACGTTAGAGACACACGACACAGTCGTGAGCAAAACTTCGTATTCAACTAATGGCTTATTTTTATCCCTCGTCAGTGAACCAGTAAATACAGACAGGGATATTCTACTGACGAACAACTTGCTATCCGCAGGTCAGACCTTCTCCGTTTTCTGCTAGAAAATGTTCGAGACACACGACACAGTCGTGGGCAAAACTTCGTGTTCAACAGGTGACTTACACTTACCCCTCGTCAGTGAACCAGTAAATACAGACAGGCATATTCTTACTTACGAACAAACATTTTTCGTCTCTCTGGGCTCGCCGTAAACAACTCCACAAGACCATGAAACTCGCTTCAAACATTCTTCGTTTCTCCTGGCTAGATGCCCACAGCATTCCGTTAAAATTCTCAACAGTTAATTCAAGACCTGACCGAACTTTGAACCTGAACACAAAAAGAAAAAACACAAAATCACATACACTCTCAAATCATTGGACTCTGAACCAGTACCTTAAAAATATGCATAACATCACTCTCAACGCCAAAAAAATCCACAGTGAGTACTCCTTTCTATCTGTGCGCACATACACCTCGTGTTTAACGAGTTCCCTTTTTTCAGAACCTTGTAAAACTCTTTTTCCCGCCTTAGCCATCTTGCTTTCTATTTTTGCGCGGGACATTTTTCATTAATCTCGTACCACGAGATAAGTTACTTGTTTCCATCTAATTAAAGTTACACATGTTTTACAAGCAGACGTCTTTGTCATTTTATTCCGGCTATCTCTTTGATGTTTATTAATTTATGCACTCGTTGATTGACCCCTTTCCTCTCACTGTTCATTCACGCATATTACATTATTATTTTTTTTATACATTGCTTGTGGACTCGGTAGTTTAGTGTGGTGTCTGGCACAAGGCCACTTCGTAATAAACCAGCACTGCACGCTGCCGGGTCCGCAACACACTAAAGAGGTGGTGGCTGGTAGTAATACAGATGTTAGCGCAACCGGTGGTTACATAGATGGGGGTGGGTATTTATTTTTGAATCTGGTCTGGGTGCACGAGCTCTGGCTCTACTCACATTAGAATGATCTTATGTCACATTCTGGTTGCCGGGGTCGGTAACTAGAAATCGAATATGACACGCAAGATTAACAACCACCGTTGGACTGCGAAAGTACGAAGGAAATTTCCTTTCATAACGTACTCTATAATTTTCGAATCTTTTTATTTTATTTTTAATATAATATTTTTTTTTTATTAGAGATGGTTTAACTTTAAAAACTGAATTAACCAGCTCCAAAGAGTATATTTATTCACTACAATCTTAACCTGTTCATGTCTAGAGTCAACCGATACCTTTCTACATATCCCTAAAAACTGTGCCTCTTAATCTATAACTCTCTACCTCATATGATTCTTGGGGATTGTACAGAGGGAACGCCATTGTAAAAAAAATATTAAAAGTTTTGGGAAAGCCATAGCGGCCAACCAAAACGAGGCTCAGTATAGCGTTACGAAGGGAGGTAACTGTAAACATATTTTAGTATTTTGTCTTTTCATTTTTTTAAGCTCGTTTTTAGCTTTTGGTTGTCAGGTACAAACAGTGATTCGTTTGTTGCCTTTGCTTACGATTTAATTACAAAGAAAAATGAAAAGATTAAAATCGAAAATAATTTTGGAAACAAAAGAAATGATGTATTCTTTTTAATGAGTCCTGTAGAAGTAAAATAACTTCACACTCATTGTCACTACGAAAGCGTGACCAAGAAATAATTTACATTATAAAGTGACGAAACGGCGTTCTACGTTTTTTTCAGCCTTCATTTTACATTTTTTTTTCTTTTTCTTTCAAATAATTCTTGTCACTTCAGTCTTTGGCCACAATGCCGATTACCATTTTGCTTTGGTTATTAAAATTAAAAATTTAAAAATATCTTTCGTTTTCTTTTTTGCTTTTTGAACCAATCATTTTGTGATACATACTTCAATTTTCTAGTTGTCATTTCTTATTTGATTTTCTTTCTTTCTTCATTTATTTCATTCTGTTCATGTTTTAATTGATTTCCATTGGTTCTTTTATCTTTTAGACAGTTTTCATTTGTTATATTGTTTGTTTTAATTCTTTCTTTCTTTCTTTCTTTCTTTCTTTCTTTCTTTCTTTCATTCATTCATTCATTCATTCATTCTTTCATCGTTATCTATCTATCTATCTATCTATCTATCTATCTATCTATCTATCTATCTATCTATCTATCTATCACTCCCTTTATTTAATTTTCTGTCACAGTCATATTTTCTTTCTTTTGCTATTTCTTTCGTTCTTTTCTATGCCATTTTCCTTTGTTACATTGTTTATTTTAATTTCTTTCTTTCTTTCTTTCTTTCTTTTTTCTGCTCGTGATTTCCATTGGTTCTTTCTTTCGTCGTTATGTATGTATGTATGTATGTATCTATTACTTCATTTCGATATGTATCTATCTATTTATCTATCTATCAATTCCTTTTTTCTATTGCTATCACAGTCACATTTCTTTCTTTTGTTATTTCTTTCTTTCTCTTCTATGTCGTTCTCCTTTGTTACAATGTTACTTTTAATTCGTTCTTTCTTTCTTTCTTTTTTCTTTCTGTTCAGGATTTCCATTGGTTCATTCTTTTATCGTTATCTATCTATCTATCTATCTATCTATCTATCTATCTATCTATCTATCTATCTATCTATCTATCACTTCCTTTTTTCATTTTCTGTTACAATCTTCTTTCTTTTATTATTTCTTTATTTCTCTTCTTTGTAGTTTTCATTTGTTACATTCTTTCTTTCTTTCTTTCTTTCTGTTCGTGATTTCCATTGGTTCTTTGTTTCTTTCTTTCTTTCTTTCTTTTCGTGATTTCCATTGGTTCTCTCTTTCGTCGTTATGTATGTATGTATGTACGTATGTATGTATTTATCTATCTATCACTTCCTTTTGTTATCTATATATATATGTATACATGCATGTATCTACCAATCTATCTATCACTTCCTTTCTTTCTTTTTCTATCACAGTCATCTCTCTTTCTTTTGTTATTTCTTTCTTTCTCTTCTATATTTTTTTCCTTTCTTACATTGTTTCTTTGAATTCCTTCTTTCTTTTTTCTTTCTTTCTTTCTTTCTTTCTATTCAGGATTTTTATTGCTCCTTTCTTTCATCATTATCTATCTATCTATCTATCTATCTATCTATCTATCTATCTATCTATCTATCTTATCTATCTATCTATCACCTTCTTTTTTCCTTTTCTCTTATAGTCATCTTTCTTTTGTTATTTCTTTCTTTCTCTTTTATGAAGATTTCCTTTGTTACATTATTTATTTATTTATTTATTTCGTCCTTATATGTATGTATGTATGTATGTATCTATCTATCTATCTATCTTTCTATCTCAGTCGGGTTCTATCTATCTATCTATATATCTATCTATCTATCTATCTATCTATCTATCTATCTATCTATCTATCTCAGTCTCTCCATTATCTATCTATCTATCTATCTATCTATCTATCTATCTATCTATCTATCTATCTATCTATCACCTTCTTTTTTCCTTTTCTCTTATAGTCATCTTTCTTTTGTTATTTCTTTCTTTCTCTTTTATGAAGATTTCCTTTGTTACATTATTTATTTATCTCGTCCTTGTATGTATGTATGTATCTATTTATGCATGTATGTATGTATGTATGTATGTATGTATGTATGTATCTATCTATCTATCTATCTTTCTATCTCAGTCGGGTTCTATCTATCTATCTATCTATCTATCTATCTATCTATCTATCTATCTATCTATCTATCTATTCCTTTCGTTATTTTTGACAGACATCTTTCATTTCTTTTTCAATTATTCTATCATTTCTCTGTTTGCTTCTCTTTTTACAAATTTCCTCTCTTCTTTTTAATTAATTAATTTTTAGAAAATATAAATTTTGATCATACATGCTTGGTTACAAATACTCGACTGAATGTTCTATACTTAGATAAGAAAATATTTTACAACCTCCCGTTGTGTACATGAAGTCGTGTTGGTTCGATGTACAAAACAACAAACAGAAAAAAAAAATTAAATTAAAAATAATCAATGAAAACATTCAGTGCGAAAACAAAGAAAACCTCTTTATTTTGTTAATCTGATAAGCAAAATCTAAAGATAAACAATTCATTTAAAAAATGTTGAAAAATAATTTAACATTTTTATCTTGTATTTTCTTTTTGAAGTCTTTGCTTTTAATTAGAACGATGATTGAGAACACTCACTCAGTCTTCCTGATATGTAAATTAATGAAAATCACCACCAATATTGATTTCAGGTTTTAGAAATGACCATTAAAGGACATTTTATTCCCGCTTAAAGTCTGATGAACTGATTCATCGATTGATGCTAACTATGCCATATATTCTAATGCTTTCGTTAATCATGTTCAGTAACGGTGATCACAATGTTTATTCGGCTGGCTTGAAGACAGCGAATAGTAATTTTCTAAGCCCGGCTTAGATGTGGCACAAGGCCGATAGTAGGGGGCACCCAGTGTGGATCGAACTCACTACTCAGAACGTAATTGGTCTAGCAAGACAAGCTTTCTAACCATTATACCACGTCGAGATGCCCTCGAAACACAGCGAATAGGCAGACAATAATTTCAACACTTGAACGTTACGCTCTGCGATTACCTCAGTTAAATAATGAATCATTCCGTTTTGATAGTAAGAAAAGAAGGAAGGAAAATGTATCAGAGATACGGTGAGCAACATAATGCAAGGGTAAAGAAGGAAAGACAGAAAGAAAGACAGAAAGACAAAAAGAAAGAAAGAAAGACAAAAAGAAAGAAAGAAAGAAGCAAGACAGACAGAAAGAAAAAAGGAAAGAACCAAGACAGACAGACAGAAAGAAAGAAAGAAGCAAGACAGAAAGAAAGACAGAAAGAAAAAAATAAAGAAAGAAAGGAGCAAGACAGAAAGAATGAAAGAAAGAAAGAAGCAAGACAGATAGATAGAAAGAAAGAAAATATGAAAGAAAGAAGCAATACTGACAGAAAGAAAGAAAGGAAAAAGCAAGACAGGAAGAAAGAAATAAAGGAAGAAGCAAGACAAAAAGAAAGAAAGAAAGAGAGAAAGACAAAAAGAAAGAAAGAAAAAGAGAAAGAAACAAAAGAAAAAAGGAAGAAAGACAGAAAGAGAGAAAGAAAGAAAGACGGAAGACAGACCGAAAGAATGAAATACAGAAAAACAAAAAGAAGGAAAGAAAGACAAAAAGAAAGAAAGAAAGTAAGAAAGAAAGAAGCAAGACAAATAGAAAGAAAGAAGCAAGACAAAAAGAAAGAAAGAAAGACAAAAAGAAAGAAAGAAAAAAGAAAGAAGCAAGACAGACAGATAGAAAGAAAGGAAGACAGAAAAGCAAAAAGAAAGAAGCAAGACAGAAAGAAAGTAAGAAAGAAGCAAGACAGAAAGAAAGAAAGACAGATAGCCAAAAAGAAAGATAGAAAGAAGCAAGACAGAAAGAAATAAAGAAAGAAGGAAAGAAGCAAGACATGCTGAAAGAAAGAAAGAGAGAAAGACAAAAAGAAAGAAAGAAAAACAGAAAGAAAGAAAGAAGGAAGACAGACAGAAAGAAAGAAGGAAGTAAGACAGACAGAAAGAAAGAAAAAAACACGCAAGAGAGACAGAAAGAAAGAGAGAAAGACAAAAAGAAAAAAAGAAGAAGCTAAACAGAAAGACAAAAAGAAAGAAGCAAGACAGAAAGAAATAAAGAAAAAAGAAAGAAAGAAAGAAAGACAAAAAGAAAGAAAAAAGCAAGACTGAAAGAAAGAAAGAAAGAAGCAAGACAGATTGAAAGAAAGAAAATAGGAAAGAAAGAAGCAAGACAGACAGAAAGAAAGGAGAGAAGCAAGACAGAAAGAAAGAAAGAAAGAAAGAAAGAAAGAAGCAAGTCAGAGAGAAATAAAGAAAGAAAGAAGCAAGACATGCTGAAAGAAAGATAGAGAGAAAGACAAAAAAAAAGAAAGAAAGAAAGAAAGAAAGAAAGAAAGAAAGAAAGAAGGAAGACAGACAGAAAGAGAGAAAGAAAGAAAGTAAGAAAGACGGAATACAGGCCGAAAGAATTAAAGACAGAAAAGCAAAAAGAAGGAAAGAAAGACAGAAAGAAAGAAAGAAGGTAAGAAAGAAAGAAGCAAGACAAAAGGAAAGAAAGAAAGACAAAAAGAAAGAAAGAAATAAAGAAAAAAGCAAGACTGACCGAAAGAAAGAAGCAAGACAGAAAGAAAGAAAGAAAGAAAGAAAGAAAGAAAGAAAGAAAGAAGACAGACAGATAGAAAGAAAGGAAGAAGCAAGACAGACAGAGGGAAAGAAAGAAGCAAGACAGAAAGAAAGAAAGAAAGAAAGAAAGAAAGAAACACAGAAATACAAAAAGAAAGAAAGAAAGAAGCAAGACAGACTGAAAGAAAGAAAGAAAGAAGCATGACAGTTAGAAAGAATGAAAGAAAAAAAAGAAAGAAGCAAGGCAGAAAGAAAGAAAGAAAGAAAGAAAGACAAATAGAAAGAAAAACAGAAAGACACAAGAGAAAGAAAGAAGCAAGACATGCTGAAAAAAAGAAAGAAAGACAAAAAGAAAGAAAAACAGAAAGAAAGAAAGAAAGAAAAAAAGAAAGATAGAAAGACAGAAAGAAAGAGAGAAAAAAAGAAAGTAAGAAAGAAGGAAGACAGACCGAAAGAATGAAAGACCGAAAAACAAAAAGAAAGAAAGAAAGACAAAAAGAAAGAAAGAAAGAAAGAAGCAAGACAATACAGACAGAAAGAAAGAAGCAAGACAGAACAAAAGAAAAAATAAAGAAAGAAAGGCACAAATAAAGGAAGAAAGAAAGAAGCAAGACAGACATAAAAGAAAGAAAGAAAGACAGAAAGACAAAAAGAAAGAAAGAAGCAAGACAGACGGAAAGAACGAAAGAAAGATAGAAGCAAGTCAGAAAGAAAGAAAGAAAGAAAGAAAGAAAGAAAGAAAAAAAGAAGAAAGATAGACAGAAAGAAAGAAAGAAGCAAGACAGACAGAAAGAAAGAAGGAAAGAAAGAAAGAAAGAAATATATAAAGAAGCAAGACAGACTGAAAGAACGAAAGGAAGACAGAAAGACAAAAAAGTAAGAAGCAAGACAGAAAGAAAGAAAGAAAGAAGCACGACAGACAGAAAGAAAGAAAGAAAGAAGCAAGACAGAAAGAAAGAAAGAAGCAAGACAGACAGAAAGAAAGAAAGAAGCAAGACAGACAGACAGAAATAAAGAAAGAAAGAAAGAAAGAGGCAAGACAGAAAGAAAGAAAAAGAAAAAAAAAAGAAAGATAGAAAGACAGAAAAGAAAGAGAAAAAAAAAGAAAGTAAGAAAGAAGGAAGACAGACAGAAAGAATGAAAGACCGAAAAACAAAAAAGAAAGAAAGAAAAGACAAAAAAAGAAAGAAAGAAAAGAAAAAAGAAGCAAGACAATACAGACAGAAAGAAAGAAGAAGCAAAGACAGAACAAAAAGAAAAAAATAAAGAAAGAAAGGCACAAAATAAAAAGAAAGAAGAAAAAAGAAGACAGACAGAAATAAAAGAAAGAAAGAAAGACAGAAAGACAAAAAAGAAAGAAAGAAGCAAGACAGACGGAAAGAACGAAAGAAAGAAAGATACAAGTCAGAAAGAAAGAAAGAAAAGAAAGAAAGAAAGAAAGAAAAAAAGAAGAAAGATAGACAGAAAGAAAGAAAGAAGCAAGACAGACAGAAAGAAAGAAGGAAAGAAAGAAAGAAAGAAATATATAAAGAAGCAAGACAGACTGAAAGAACGAAAGGAAGACAGAAAGACAAAAAAGTAAGAAGCAAGACAGAAAGAAAGAACGAAAGGAAGACAGAAAGACAAAAAAGTAAGAAGCAAGACAGAAAGAAAGAAAGAAAGAAGCAAGACAGACAGAAAGAAAGAAAGAAAGAAGCAAGACAGAAAGAAAGAAAGAAGCAAGACAGACAGAAAGAAAGAAAGAAGCAACAAAGAAAAACAGAAATGCAAAAAGAAAGAAAGAAAGAAGAAAGACAGACAGACAGAAAGAAAGAAAGAAGCAAGACAGACAGACAGAAATAAAGAAAGAAAGAAAGAAAGAGGCAAGACAGAAAGAAAGAAAGAAAGAAAAAAAGAAGCAAGATAGACAGAAAGAAAGAAGCAAGACAGACAGAAAGAAAGACCGAAGTAAATAAATAATTAAAGAAAGAAAGAAAGAAAGAAGCAAGACAGGCTGAATGAAAGAAAGAAAGACGTAAAGACAAAAAGAAAGAAAGAAAAACAGAAAGAAAGAAAGAAAGAAGCAAGACAGACAGAAAGAGAGAAAGAAAGAAAGTAAGAAATAAGGAAGACAGACCGAAAGAAAGAAAGACGGAAAAACAAAAAGAAAGAAAGAAAGAAGACAGACAGACAGAAAGAAAGAAAGAAAGAAACAAGACAGAAAGGAAGGAAGAAAGAAAGAAGACAGAAAGAAAGAAAGAAAGAAACAAGACAGAAAGAAAGAAAGACACAAAGAATAAAAGAAAGAAAGAAAGAAAGAAGCAAGACAGACAGAAAGAAAGAAAGAAAGAAAGAAAGAAAGAAAGAAGCAAAACAGACAGAAAGAAAAAAAGAACGATAGAAAGAATAAAGGAAGTTGTGAAAAAATGAAACAAGAAAAACATTGGTAAAAGAGAGATAGACGGACAGATAAATAGATGTCAAAGAAAAAAAGAAAAAAAGAAAGAAAGAAAGAAAGAAAGAAAGAAAGAAAGATGTCTGTGAAGAAAGTAAAATAGATGTTGGTAAATGATAGGTATTAATGTACTGAGATAGATAGATAGATAGATAGATAGATAGATAGATATAAAGAGAGAAAAAACAAGAAAATGGAAAGAAACAATATAAAAAAGAAAGAAAGAAAGAAAGAAAGAAAGGAAATGATTGAGTAAACTATGTGAAAGGAAAGTGAAGAAAGCGTAGGTAATAACGCTCGCACACATTTCATGTCTGCTTCAGTGACATGGAAAACTTCGCCAGTTTTTGTTTCATTTATACCTTCTTAATTTTTTAATAATGACCTACACTCATACGCATGATTGTTATTGTTAAAATATATATATATATATATATATATATATATATATATATATATATATATATATATCGATGAAATAGGGAAATTCCACGGTATTATATAGTTGTGCTACTGATGAGGAGGTTATTCAATCATCAACTTGAGAAATATGATTGATCAGAAAATTCAAATAGAAAAAAATGAAATTCCCCCTTGTACTGCTAGTGCATATAAATTTAAAATGCGGGGGTGGATTATTTGAAATAAGAGAAACATAAATGATATTCTCATAATGAGAACTTCTTAATAATAATAATAATAATAATAATAATATAATGATAATAATAATAATAATAATAATTATTATTATTATTATTATTATTATTTGCTGAGGCTACGTTACATGTGGCTTTCGTTGATTTACGACTTGTGATTGGAGGTGGTAACATGTACGTGTTTACTTCACTTACTTCCCTAAAACCGTCGCTAGGGGACGCTCCCTAAGCCGATGAATAGGTAGTGACATCCTCAGGCAGCCAATCTTTTTCCTGTTTCACTCAGAGACAGTAAAGTCGAATGAGCAAAACAAAGGAAAGCAAGCTCGTGCGCGCACAAACACACGTACATACGCACCTTTCCCTTCATTTTCTCGAGAACTTTCTCGAGAACTTTCTCGAGAACTTTCTCCTACACCAAACCACACACACAGACACACACACAAACTGTTCACTAGTTTAAATGTTTTCTTCATTCATGTTCATTGTTTTACAACAGACGACAATACTTTATTGTATATATATATATCTTTGTTTCGTTAATGCATACATTGCTGTTTGTTTATATATACAGTTTTGTTATTACATATTATGTTATTACCCGGACTCATATTTGAGTCCGCCATTTTTGTTGTGGGATAAATATACCAGGATACACATATTTTCCGACATAAAACACGAGCAGCAGACACCCGAAACATATGTATATATATGTTTGTGCATTAACTAAATATTCCGATCAAGACCACAGATTAGCTTAATAATGTTCTGATTTTAACCAGTTGGGCATTGATCCCCGTGGAAATGAGGCACTGTATATAGGGATGTTTGATTATTTACTTAAACAAATGCAATCTTAAAAATGGTACTCGGTGTGAAATCTGAAATTTAATCTGATAAGTACTGAACCAAAAACTAGATTTATTACCAATTCTTAAGCATTTAGTATTGAAACTTCGTCTGAAAAATGTAAAGAAATAACTTCCGCAGGCGTTTGATTAGAAAATTTTACTATTTCAAGAATAAATTCAAATAAATTTGATATTTTTTGTGTTTTAATGGAAATATATATTATAATTATATATATATATATATATATATATATATATATATATATATATATATATATATATATTATAATTATATATTCAAAACCGAATTCTAATTATGAATTATCAAAAAGAAAATATGCTATTTTACGGTATTCGATGAGCAAAAACTGTAAAATTTTAATTGTAAGACATTACATAATTAATAAAACCAAAAAATAGGTAAATGTGTATATAACACCATAATACTACTGGATACAAATTATAAAATAAAATGTTTAACATTTGCATTGTTTACTGAAACTGCTCCGTATAATATCCCTATGAAGTAAATGTAGGTCCTATTTGATAGCATAATAATTTAGTAAAAATGTGCTTGGGCCATGCACCTTGGAGATATTAAAATTAGCAAGCCATTACTTGCCCCGGTTAACAACAGATTGTAATTCATTTTTTAGATCAGATGCCAGACTTTATTAACGGAGGTTAAAATAGTGGTTTCATCAGCATTAATGATTATTAAATATTAAATAAATATTAAATCATTAAATATTATTAAATCGTTAATATTAATTATTAAATCTTTACATATTATTAAATCGTTAATATTTAATAAATATTAAATCGTCAAATATTATTAAATCGTTAATATTAAATAAATATTAAATGTTAAATGCTGAAGCCTGCAAGGAATAGGAAGTTGTGGGGGATCAAAAACAGGTAAAAACAGGTACACAAAAGAATTACTATATATATATATATATATATATATATATATATATACATTATAATTTAAATATATATATATATATATATATATATATATATAATTTATATATATATATATATATATATATATATATATACACTAGAATTTAAAAATTTGTGGACACCCTGGTAATTTTTCAAATTGGCCGTAAAAGTAGTTGTTTTGTTATATAAATAAAAGACATTTATTATACATGGGGGAAAAAATCTCAGACATTATTTTTTTATTAGAAATTTTGTTATAACTATAAGAAAAAAAGAATTTTATAATTAAATTTTGCTCTCGTCAAAATATCCTCCATTAGCCTTCATTTCTGCAGCACAAAGTTTTGGTATTCGTTGGAAACGTTTCTCAAAGTAAAGGACGTTCCAATACATTGGACCGATTTTTAAATGTGAATTAAGGTTTAAGCGTCTAATATTTATTCTTCTTTTTCTTTCAGATTTGGCAGACATTTGGGCGATATTATTTTTCACACATAATTGCCATGACTTAAATAACATGATCCAATAGAGAAATAAATAAATTCTCACCAGTAACACTGATTTATTTACTGCTGGCTTTGATCCGTCTTAAGCAAACAACCTTTATAATTTTGATAATTGGTTCCATTCTTTTTTCAGTGACTCTAAGAGCTCTTTTTCATTTTTTCTTCTGTCAAGTTCATCACATGCTAATTCTGGGGATGGCTTTTGAACTATATATATATATATATATATATATATATATATATATATATAATTTGGCTAGTTGAAAATTAGTGTGAATATTTTGAGAAGTGCTTTGATTAAAATGCCGACTGGTCGAGTTAATCCCGCTGTTCGCTGAATATTTTGTTACCAAACTATGGGCTAAGTGTTAGGCGTATCACTGAAATTAAATGATAGTTCAAAGTGGAATGAAGGGATAATATCTTTCATATATTTCGACACTGATCAAAAATATAGAACGCCAAAAATAAACGCTGAAGAGTGTGGCACCCAGTAAGCGAAGTTAAGGTCTAGCTAAAATGACAAACATCGTTGTTACACTAGGACAGGTTGAAATTTGAACCGTGATATTGCGATCAATTTGAAAACGACACAGATTATTTTTTCCAATTCGTTACCGATTTTTGAGGGGACGAAGTTTACGTTGAAAAATTTAATTCTGTTGATCAGTGAAAGCTTTATAACAGAGCCTTTTAAAATTTATGAATTACTGAAGCTTTGTAAATTCTATATCTACACGATACATGACACAAGCGCATCAATACTAAATTATTGTAGCTTCGTCCACCGCTAGGAAAGTTGGCTCCCTGTGCCGCGCCAGGAAATTTTTCTCGCCGGAGTCGATCCTTCAAATCTACAAATCAACCATTCGCCCTTGCATGGAGTATTGCTGCCATATATGGTCTGGAGCCCCTTCAAATTGTCACAAGGTCCTTGATAAAATCCATAGACTGATATGCAATGCAATTGGCCCTGATCTGGCATCTCGTCTGCAGTCGCTCTCTCACAGACGTGCCGTTGCTTCCCTCTGTCTTTTTTACAAATACTTTCACGGTAACTGCCCCGATGAGCTGCCTTCGCTGGTTCCCAGACTTCATGAATTTAAGCGTTCAACTAGGCTGGCATCTTTCTCTCACTCTTTCATTGTCGTAACTGTTAAATGTAACCGTCTCTTCTACTCCAATAGCTTCATGTGTCGCACTTCTCGCCTGTGGAACTCCCTCCCCATTTCTTGTTTTCCTGATAACTATAATCTCCAACTATTCAAATGTAATGTCAATCGACGTCTCCAATCTATCCCCTAACCTTCTCTTCATCCTTTCCTCTATCACTCCTCTTTGTTCTCTCTGTAACTCCTTGCGTGCTAGTGGCTTCCCGCCTTGCTTGGGTTTGAATGCTTACAAAAAAAAAATCAAATCAGACCTTCATTTAATTCAAAAGTGATATTATACTGAACTATTTAACTATATTATGATGTAATGTTATGCAGTGCAATAGTCTTAGTGCGATTTTCAATTCACAATGCAAATCTAAAACATTTTTGTCATAATATGTGTCCAGCGGTATTATGGTGTGATATACACTTTTATCTATTTTGTTGTTTTTATTAATTATGAACTAACAAATGACCTAACAAATCTTATTCATTGAGTAGACTTTTTTTTTCTAATCTTTTACATTTTTTACAGTTTTTACTTATTGAATACAGTAAACAAATTGTGTATTTTGCTTGTGGTGACTAGAATTCTGGTTTGAATATGTTTTCCATTGTTAAAATTACATCTTTAAGTGCCGAATCTAAGTGCGTCCTCAGTGTTGTTGCTCCCATGTCGATAGAAGTTTCGGGTCTAAATAAACAACAGACTTCTTCGATGGGCGACCCGACCGAATATGATCAGCATTCGGCCCGCACTCGGATTAAATTTGCTACTAGCTTTAGGGCGTGCGTTTATCTAAGTTCCCCCAGAAAACGGCAACTCATCAAGTCTTCACTTGGGCTATTCGGTGTTATAGATCGGGTATGCTTGGTTGTACTGATCTTTCTACATGCAGCCAAGACAGTGTTTTTTAGGAGAGAAGAAAAGAAAAGAAACCAATAAATAAAATAAAAACGATTTATTATATTGGCTCCTCTTACGACTTACTTTTCTTTCTCTTCCTCACCTTTTAAATTCTTTATTATATCTTATTTGTTTGGTCTTTCTCTTTTTATAACTTTCTCTTTTTTATTCTTAACTACACTTAACAACATGTTTACAATAGAGTGATTAAAATGACTTAGACTATTTACAAAAACAACTTCTAAAATACGGTATGAATAATTTGGGATATTGATTGATACT